CAGAAGATGGGTATCTACAAGTAAAAGAGAGAGGCCTGGAACAGATTCTTCCCTTGCAGCCTTCACAAAGACCACCCTTGCTTACACCTTGAGTTTGGACTTCCAGCCTCCAGAACTGTGAGACAATAAATTTCTATTATTTAAGCCACTTAGTCTGTGGAAGTTTGTTACAGCAGCATTAGCAAACTAGTACAACACTAAATTGTTCTTTTAGAAATAAAGGTGTATAGTGATAACTTAAAAATAAAGATAAGGGGGAGGTGGCTAAGGAGTAATCAGGTAAGGGACACAAAGAATAACTACAATTTGTAATGATGAACATGCTAATAATATTGACTTGATCATCACATACTGTATACAAATACTGATAAACAACTCTGTACCCTATAAATATGAATAATCAAAAAATAAATAAATAAATAAATAAAAATAAGAAAAATTTTTTAAAAATAAAGAGAGAAAAAAGGGGAGGAAGAAGGAGAAGAGGGAGAAAAAGAGAGCTCTTTACAGAATAATGAGAGTTAATACAGGTAGAAAGAATGATAGTATTGAAAAATCATTACTTTGTAACCCTCAATATAGTAATTTATCAGAAAAGCTCACCAGAGGATGCTAAAATCTTTGGGTGAAAAAACTGTACAGGAACAGGCCTCAAAGTATCACCCTGTAGATTTACTAATTACAAAGGGAAAAAAGCTCCTTTACAATGGAGAGATCTGGTAGATTTCTCCAAGTGATCAACGTATTATTACAATAATGGAACAAACTGACATTATGTGCCTTCTGATGTGACTCAGTGAGGACACATCACCTGTGTGATAATCTTACCAAAAATGTTTAACCTGAGTGATAATAAGGCAACAATCAGGTAAATCCAGAATGTCGGTTACTCTACAAAATAACCAGCTTAAACGCCATGAAATTTGCATAGCAACTGGTCTACATTAAAGAAGACTAAAGAAAGACATAAAACCAAATGTCATGTATGACACATAATTGGAGCCTAGATTGAGGGAGGGGGAAAACACCTATAGAATGCACTTTTTAGGATAATCACAGAAATTTAAATGTTGCCTGTATCTCAGATTATTGAATCAGCGTTAAATCTCTTGGATGTTAAACACATTTAAGAATAACTTGCAGAAATCACAACTCCTTACCCTTATATACCTCACTATCTCAATCTATATTTCCTAAGCTCAAGGACATCCTCCTAAATAATTATAATACAATTATCATAATTTACAATATTTTTTGTAGACTCCACAGTGTTAAGAGTGTGTAGGTATGTGTTTACTCACAAGAATAAGATCTGCTCACTCTTGTCCACAGACAAGTAGTCAAATCCCCTTTCGGACTCCAGTTTTAGATCCAATTCTCAGTATTAGGAGTATGTGTTCCTTTTAATCCTTCTTCATTGTTCTCTAGTATTCCGAATCAATGGACAAATGCTGTACCAAGCTTGTACCACTTATATGAAAGGTTCCTCCCTCCTCTACTCCCATCATTCTGCTTTACTCCTTGAGAAATCTGGTGGAGAAGGGCCAAAACACTTCCTCTCTCTTCTACAGATGGTATCTGTTTCATGAAGTAAAGGTGAGTTATGTGGTAAGTGAAGCCAGGGAAGGTTCTTCAATACAGCTCCAGCTACTTTAAAAAATAATGTCAATTCCATCAAGAATCTGGTATTACATTGTTTTTAAGTCTTAGCTTACTGGTACAATGAGTTTTCAAATTTTCTTTTTTTTGTAGGCATCTTGTGAGAAGCTGGGAGGGAAAGATCCTGTTTTGAACTAAAACTCACACCGTCATTTTCCATTTTATACTGTAGCTCAGTGTTCTCCAACCTCTCTGATCACACACTCTTATCAGTAAAAATGTTTGAGCTGCATCCTCAGTATATGTATTCTTATTTATAAATTATATGTACACGTACTTCTCCAGTTTGCCATGAGATAACCATTGAACATCGGTGTGCTACAAAAGATTTTCATAGTCATTTTCTACTTCATTATTTCAGGGGCTCTTTGAAAAAAAATTAACCATATTACAGCCATCCTGCAGTATGCAAATCACAAGACCTATACTACACTATACACTGAGGGCAAAAGTATGAAAAGGATTACCACTGAAAACCCCTCCCACACTGTGGATCAGGTACAGTATATGACATGAGCCCATCTACATGTGGACTGAGCCAAGACATCAGTGTTAGTCTGTGTTTTAAACATCAATAAAGCATAGTTTCTTCTTTATTATTATTTTAAAAAATACATACATATATATTAATGAAGAAGAAAAGAGGCCAGGAAAGGAACTACAGTTACTCCATTTTTTTTTAACTTAATTTGACTTGCTCTCTTCTAGCCCAGGAAGCTGACCCTTCATTAGAATTTACTGCTTTTCGAGCAGACTCTTTTCTCAGAAGTTTGTTATCACCAAGATATCTATTACTTAGATAAGCGTAGATGACACTGTTTATAGAAGCCCTGGGAAAACAGGATGGTTGTTAACTTACTGTATTTTAAACAAATGGGAATTAGTTAGGAGTCCAGTAGAAGAGAAGCCATAAGAATTGTAAAAGGCCTAGAAACCATTTGTTCATTATGTTATTGTCAGTTATCCATTCCATCTTCACGAGATATTTGGAATTTGTTTTATTGCTTAGAATTTTCTGACCTTTCATTATAAAACCTCCTTGCTTCCTCTGCTTGTAGAGCTGATTTACTTCTCATACTGAGAGGTGGTCTTCCCTGATTTGCAAATCTAATACAAACCTCATTTAAATTTCCTTACAGATTGAAGTGTTTTGCTTCAACTACGTGTGTGTGTGTGTGTGTGTGTGTGTGTGTGTGTGTGTGTGTGTGTGTGTGTGTATAAAAAGAGAGAGATCCAAATTTTCTTCTTGCATCCTCCCGATAGATCGGACTTAGGCACCCTTTGTTGGGAACTATTGCTGGTCATGAAAGATGACTGTGATATTGTGAAAATATGTATTTGATCTTCATCCCTGTCTGCTGACACACAACTCCTAAAATCCTGAGAATCTCCAAAGTGATAAAAGTCTTTTCATATGCTAATAACGGCCGGCAACCCCTAGACAGCTTCAGGATGGGCGCTGGTCACAGGAAAGACCAAGGTGGGACTTTCAGTCCCACCCTCCAACTCCAAGGAGGGGAGAGGGACTGAAGGTTACACCAATGGTCAGTGATTTGATCAATCATGCCTATGTAATGAAGCTTCCATAAAAACTCAAGAAGCCTAGTTTAGAGAGCTTCCAGATAGCTGAACACGTGGAGGTTCCTAGAGAGTGGCACGACTGGGGAGGGCACAGAATCTCCACACCCCTTCCACAATACCTTGCCCTATGCATTTGTATCTATCCTTTATAATATCCTTTATAATAAACTGGCAAATGTAAATGCATGTCTTCCTGAGTTCTGTGAGCAGCTCAAGCAAACTAATTGAACCCAAGGAAGGAGCTGTGGGAACCCGAATTTATAGCTGGTTGGTCAGAAGTTCCAAGGCCTCGACTTTTGACTGGCATCTGAGGTGGGGGGCAGGGAGGCAGTCTTGGGGACTGAGCCCTCAACCTGTGGGATCTGACGCTATCTCCAGGTGGACAGTGTCGGAATTGAATTAGAGGATACAGATGGTGTCTGCTGAGAAACTGTTAAAGGAAATTCTGCGTTCTACTGGCTAAATCCGGGTTCTTCATGTCTTTAACAAAGAATTGGGCAAGACATGCCAGGGCGAAAAACAAAAGAGCAGTTTTACCTAGCTTTAGCAAAGCAAGAATACATTTCAGAGAGGATGGAGCAGGCTCAAGAGCCCCGATGGTTACATTCCCAGGGGTTTTAAGTCCTCTTAGCTGGATTCGTGTCATTTGGTCATTGGTTGAGCCCTGAGTGTAGTCTCTGTCCTACAGGTTAAAGTGATTGGCACCCTAGCTGGTGGGAGCTCACTGGTCCAACAGAATGGCACCCAAGGTAGTGGGAGGCAAGGAGACTCCTCAGCTGATGGGGGAACTGGTTGTCCCATTTACAAATAACCAGGTTTCTTCCTCCTGCTCATGTCTATCTAGCTTCCTGCCTCAAAACCGCTTGCTTGCTTGCTAGTGGGGAGAAATCCCCACACATTTGGTCACAGAAGTCAGAAATTGGTTTTCTGTGTTGATTATGATGTGAGAGTAAAGACAGTGTGTTTTTCCCACTTACTCTTACAATATGACTGTAAAAACCACCAACTTTAAATGGGTAGTACAAAGTTAAAGTGACACATCACAGAAGATTCAGCATGAAAACCTTGACTAATTTTTAAAAAGCCAAACACATTTAATAGTCAAGTCTATGACCATGCATATCCACCCATTGTCACTGAGATACACTACTGAGCTGCTTAACCAAAGTACCTATATTTCTATAGCTTTAGTTTTGTTCGTTGCTCCTCACTGCAAATTGCTCTCCTCACCCTGATATGGGTGAGCCACATATTTTTGTAAATAAAGTTTCCATGGAACACAGACAGATCCATTCATTTAAGCACTGTCTAGGACTGCTTTCATGCTACAATGGCATTGTTGAGTATATGGTATGCAAAGCTTAAATTATTAGTATCTAGCCCCTGCTCTAATCCTTAATTCCTTTAAGGCATACCCCATCTTTTTATGTTTTCATGTTAGAGAAAGAGTACACCCTCTACTTTGTTTTTCTGAAGTCCAGCCCACCAGAAAGAATGTCTTCAGGTGAAAACTTAGACCAGGCAGGAGGCCTTGGTTTTGCTCAGGTGAGGTTTCCTCAGAGTGGAAGAGGTAATATCACTTTTCCAGGCTCCCTTCTACCTTCCAGGAGTTCAAAATAACAATCAAGGAAGAAAGAAACTGCTCTGTTCTTTCACTAAAGCAACTAAAATATACCTTGCATTTCTTCAAACTAAATATCATTAGTGCATAATTGAGCCAGCCATAATATTTATAAGTTAAATACTGTTTGACTCCTTACTTCTGAAAGCAAACTCTCCAGGGACACAGGATCCATCTTGCTGTAGACATTCCATAGATTCAAACTCACATCCTGCAACTGCAACAAAGGTCAAAAACAACTAAATAATTAAGTCAATATCATTAGGACAATCAGAATTATTTTCTGATATTCAGAAATGACTATTTTGGTATAAACTCAGTGTGATTAGAATAATAAATCAAGGGCCGGCCCCGTGGCTCACTTGGGAGAGTGTGGTGCTAATAACGCCAAGGCCAGGGTTCGGATCCCATATCGGGATGGCCGGTTGGCTCACTGGGTGAGCGTGGTGCTGACAACACCAAGTCAAGGGTTAGGATCCCCTTACCGGTCATCTCTTAATAAATAAATAAATAAATAAATTTTTTATCAATTATATTAGAACCTATACATATTAATAGAAGCCTTCCCATTCAAAGAAACTTTTTTCAGAACCTTTGTTATGTCCTTTGATTATCTTCAATGATGGGCACATATATATTCATATACACACAAATACATGCATATACACACATATTTTAAATATTTTTGCCTTTATTTAAAATAAAATTTTAATCAAAGTAATACATGCCCATGGTTTAAAAAAATCAAATGATACAAAAAGCTTGTCATAAAAAATTTTAGGGCTGGCCAATTAGCTCAGATGGTTAGAGTGTGGTGCTGGTAACAGCAAACTACAGGGTGCCATCCCTGCACCAGCCAATAACAAAAAAAATTTAATCCCCCATTCCAACTTTTCACAAAAGCCCCCTATTCTCATTCCTTAGAAGCAACCAGTTAGAATTTTAACATTTTATTTTTGGTATTTATCTCCATACTTGATATAATATCATTCTATCACTATTTCTTGATTTATCAATTTAGAAATTAAATGTAACTTACGGCAAAGATGTTGCTTTTCTATATCCACCCCCATTCCCATATTTTTCTCTATACACACATACCCTAACATCATTTAATATCATAATATGACTTTCTTGGTTACATCAATAATTACTGTTTATAATATTAAAACCTTCAAATATTATTTATTACAGGCTAAATACATAGTAGATTTCTATTTGCTTTCTTATTTTTTCAGTTTTTGTTTTGGCACCTGGCCAGTAAGGGAATCTAAACCCTTGAGCTTGGTGTTATCAGCACCATACTCTAATCAAGTCAGCAAACTGGCCAGCCCTGCTTTCCTAATTTTGTTTTTCTTGGAAGTACTAACAGCTTCATTCTTTTCACTTACATAATTTTTTTTTAACAACTCAATCTGAAACTTTTTTCTAACAGCTACATCCAATTTGCTAGTATGCTTACTCTAGGGTTTTTCAACAGTGACTTCATTGTCATTGTGAACCTGATATTTCTTTGTTGCGTGGAGCTGCCCCGCGCATTGTTGGATGCTCAGCAGCATCTCTGGCCTCTACTTACTAGTTGCGTATATCACCTCCCCTCCCCGCAAAGGCAAACCAAAAATATTTTCAAACATTGTCAAATGTTGGGGGGCAGAGGGGGGAGAGACAAAATCATCCCAGATTGAGAATCACTGGCTTACACACATTTGAATATGTTTAATATCTATCAGTTCTATTTCTTCTTCCTGTTTCATTCTAGTCTGGCTGTTATGTAAGATTGCTGCACAGCTACAACTTTCACTTTGGGACTTCTCTTTGCTATCATGCTGGAGCTCTCAGACGATAGATTTGGTTCCACGGTTTACCTGTCTCCTCTTTCTTGGCTAATTACCTTCTTTGCTGGAGCACATCATCCAATAGCTTTCCAGGAAGTAATTAATGGAAGGCAACCTGTTTTTTAGTTTTAAAATGTCTTTACTCTGTCTTTGTGACTGATTGATAGCTCACTGATACTCCTCCCATTTTTTTTGGATTCTTTATTCTCTCTGTGCCTCATCTTGGATAGTTTCTACTACTGTGGCTTCAAATCTTTTCTTTTGCAGTGTCCAATATGCTGTTAATCTCACTCAGTGTATTTTTCTTTTAGGATACTGTAGTTTTAATCTCTAGAAGTTCAATTTGGATCTTTTTTATATCTTCTATGTCTCAACCTTTCTCCTAGCTTCTAGAAAATATGGAATAAAGTTATAACAACTGTTTTAATCTCCTTGTCTGCTAATTCTAACATTTCTGTCAATTCTGGGTCAGTTCTGACTGATTACCTCATTATCCGTTGGGTTTTCCTGCTTCTTTTAAACCTGAAAATAATTATTTGGATACCAGACACTGTGAATTTTACCTTGTTGGATGCTAGATATCTTTGAATTCTTATAAATATTCCTGTGCTTTGTTTTG